TTTGCACACAATAACAGCATCCAGGTAATCTGAAACTTGTTTCATTAATTCGCATGTAATGGTTTTTGTATTTTTAATTTTTTTTGCTTCCCGTTTCCAGTTTGTAGATCGCAATCTTTAAGGAATCTTCTCTTCATTCGTAAGAACCCTTACCGTATTCCTCTCCAAAAGCCTTCACAAGCCCTCATTCTGTAGAACATTTGCACTCCATCCCTGCAATTCCTGGATCGAATCTTCATCCGAGTCGGAACAAATTTGATCCTATTTCCTGCATAAATTCTCAAACCTTTTCCTAATTTTTCAATGGCCCCCCTCAGCGATTTAAGGTTTTTTTTACCTCAGACAAGGCTGAAATTGAGAGTTGCGAGCTCCTCCAGTTCTCTCGGTTTTGTTTTTTCTAGCTACGGCAGTTAAGTCAGTAACTGGAACCAGATTCTCCACTATGCAAGGTCACGACATTTTTCTCTCCTTGGTTTGCCTAGCTGAAATTTGAAAGTGCAAGCCAGAAAATGTTGCACTCTTTGCTTCTCTCAGAAATTGCAAAACCCGATCGACGATTCATTGAAATTAGTAGTAAAAAGGATGTTCAAACACCTCATAAATCCTCTATGATATCTAAATAACATCTCTATACCCTCCCTCAATCGAATTCCAATCTCAGTCCATAGAACTTCTAAGGTCGCCTAAATCTTCTTCGATCCCAATATCCTATGGTTCCTTCCTAGCTGACATGTAGAAATTCAAACACTTGTCCTTTACTCCAATTACTCCAATGCCCGTTACCCCTTTCACTGATTTCTTTCCTATTACCAAAGCCTTCAATCCCTTTCTCATTACCGTTGTTTCATTATTGGATGAATTGCTGCAAGTACAGGATAGCACTTCATTTTGAATTGCTGCAAGTACAGAATAGCACTAGATTTTTCTTTCCATTACTTGATCTTCATTACTCCTCCCAAAGCTTTCACGACACACCTGCACTTGAGAGATTTAAATGCATACCAACAATTCTAATGTGATTGCATATATGATTCCAGATTTTGGGAATTTATGTACATACCATTCAATACTTCTGTGTTTACATATATAACATCTAATTCTATAGATAAATATGTATTGTTTATTTTTTTCTTAGTTTTATTTTTAGATATTTATATTACATAACACTCAATTCTTAGATGTATGTATGCTACTGAGTTCTTATGCTATTTGATTCTTATGCATTCATATATATATATATATATATATATATATATATATAATCTATACTTTAAAATTCAAATATATACCTATTATTCATTAGTTCCGATGTGTGTGTGTGTGTGTGTAGTTTGTGTGTGTGCGTGCGCGTACCATGTCCTGCTGGTAGAGCAGTCTCTCTGAAGGTCGCAAGTCCCCTCAGGTCACGGGTTTGAATCTCCCCGTTTATAGGGTATGGTACTCAAATATTTAGTACAACTAGGGATGACCGCGACTTGTCTAATAGCTTATATATATATATATATATATATATATATATATATA